AGTCATTTTTCACCCTGTAAGAACCAATCATCTAGAAGGTGCCTGAAGATTCCTATTATCCATAATTATGTATATAATATGAAATTTATCCAGTCAAATCTAGATCTGGAACGTGCATATTAGAAACACCTTGCTTTTTATTTGGCAAGTCATTGCTTCCTGGTTATCTAGGAGCCCTTTGCAAACGATTCCACAAAGAACCGCTAAATTGAAGGATGACCCTTGAGGGGCCCTGTGGGTGTAGCTGCCAGATCAAAATGTCTGTGTAATATTGAGAGATTTGTATGCATTGTGCATCCTGTTCCATAATATTGCCATGTTTATTTTGATATGGACATAATGTACTTCCCACACCTGTACATATGGTACAGCATCCCAAATGTTTATCTTCTTGACCCTGCAGCTTTGACCACCTCCTCACCCCAGGTCTCAAAGGATGGTGGTAGCTCACTTTGAGGAATAAGATGCTGTACAGTGTTACGGGTCCATTCAAGCTTTCAGTTCTGCATAATTGTTTTTTCAGGCTAGTCTGCTCATGATCAATATTCATGTAGGCAGCAAAATGCACAGACTCAGCATCCTTTTATTTACCTACTTCGGAGGGCAAACATTTATCAGGCTATATTTCTATCTTTCACAATGTGATTATAGTTCTTAATAATTTTAGGAACTATGGTCACAGTTATCAAGTAATTATTTTAGACACACACAAATGTGTGTTGCACCAAAGTAATTAGGGAACAGCCATAAAACTTGGCAGTCAATGCCAGTTCCAACATTTCATTTATTTTCGATTTATTTATGAGGAGACTAGAACCAACCTTCTGCTTGTGTTTTGATTACTTAGTGCAGATAGGACTGATTTCAGAAAACCTCCAGCTTAAGGAGATAATAATGAACCCATTCCCAGGAGGAGCTCAAGGCTTCAAAGGTATGCTCTGCTTCAAGACCCAGGGAATGTCATCGTGGACACTTTCCTGTGTCTGAGAAGTCCTCCCTAGAACAAAAGCCCTGGCCGATGATAGGAAAGCAGAATGTGCTCTGTCCAGGGAAACAGAGAACCCCGGCTTCCAGCATTTGGAACTGACAGCATGAATGAGATATTTTAAGACTCTTACCAGTGGAGCTTTTTGTGAATAAAGAATCATCCATGTGCTTCTGAGCCTTTGGTCTAGCCTCACCTTTGGCAATTCCAAAAGGTGGGTCTGTGGTCAGCCAATCTTTTACCCATCAGGAATGTGACAGGCCTGCGTGGCAGTGCCCCAGGCCTAATTATGCTCTTTTCATTATGCTTGGCTTGTCGTTTCTGTTTTCATTTGCTGGTGTATAGTTCTCCTCTTTACTGCCTCTGCGATTTTATTTTCTTGTCAAGTAGTATAAAGGGCTTCTTAGTTTTGTAGTTTCATGGAAACTTGCTTGGCTGGGCTGGGTAGAAGGAGACCAAGATTGGGATTTAGCAGTCATCTGAAAATCCTGGCTAATGGGGAGGAAAACCCAGGAGGCATGCTGCCAGGTGGTCATTTGATTTTTGGAGGAAACATATTTGGATGACACAGATTTCTGGATTTTTTCAAAGATGAATTATACAGAATATGGGTTAACACAGCACAGCTTCTGAACAAACCACCATCCAGAAGAGACCTGGGAATTTAAACTTGGCATCCAAATTTGATTACCCAGGGTGATTGAGAGAAAGCAATACTTCATTTATTTCAGAACAGTTTATTGAGTTAGGCTTCATTTTAGTTGCCATTATGGTAATTTTTAGTTTCTTTTAAAAAGCAAAAACGACCACACACATTACTTGCACTTAAAATACTTGCCCTCCTCTTAGATACGTGCTTCCTAAGGATATCTCTGCTAGCCTCCTATCATAGATTCCTCCCCTGCACACTGCCTCTTCCATGTGACAGTATTCAGAGTGGATCTAAGAGCTCCCCCGCCAACATGGAAACAGAGCCTAGAAAATCAAAATGAAATGCTTTGAATTCAGGGGCTCGTTGCCTCCCACCTCCATTTAGGTAATATGATTTCTATCTAAATCCAGTTTATCAGGCACATGTTGATTTCAGGCCTGAATTGTTCAAATGATTATCCCATAGAGAAAGATTAAGAGTTGAAGAAAATGCTTTTTTTTTCTTTTGCGATGGAGTTTCGCTCTTGTTACCCCAGGCTGGAGTGCAATGGCGCGATCCCGGCTCACCGCAACCTCTGCCACCTGGGTTCAAGCAATTCTCCTGCTTCAGCCTCCCAAGTAGCTGGGACTACAGGCATGTGCCACCATGCCCAGCTAATTTTTGCATGTTGACCAGGATGATCTTGATCTCTTGACCTCGTAATCCACTCGTCTTGGCCTCCCAAAGTGCTAGGATTATAGGCATGAGCCACCGCGCCTGGCCAGAAAATGTTTTAAACTGAAAGAGAGGCTGGGTAGCTCATGCTTGTAATTCCAGCACTTTGGGAGGTCGAGGTGGGTGGGTCAGAGGTCTTGACTTCGAGACCAGTCTAATCAATATGGTGAAACCCCATCTCTACTAAAAATACAAAAGTTAGCCAGTGTGGTGGTGTGCCTGTAGTCCCAGCTACTTGGGAGGCGCTGAGGCAGGAGAATCGCTTGAATCTGGGAGGTGCAGAGAAATTCATCACATTTCATTCACTCACAATATTGGCCTTTGTTGGCTCAGTGCTTTTCTGAAACCTGAGAATTAGTTCAAATTGTATAAATTCAGGAGGCTTTGGGCTGGGCATGACTTTTTAAGATTGCCTCTGTGTGTTTGTGTGTGTGTGTGTGTGTGTGTGTGACGGTGGGGTAAAGTGGAGAGGGGAAATTACAGCTTATTAAATTTTAATTTTTATTGTTACATATTATTTGCACATTTTTATGGGAGTGCATGTGATATTTTGTTACATACATAGAATGTGTAATGATCAAGTCAAGGTCTTTAGGGTGTCACACCTCAAGTATTTATCATGTCTGTGTATTGGGAACATTTCAAGTCCTCTCTTTAGCTATTTTGAAATATAGAATACATTGTTGTTAACTATAGTCACCCAACTCTACCATTGAACGTTAGAACTTATTTATTCTATCTAACTGTATGTTTGTACCTGTTAACAATCTCTCTTCATCCCTTGCCTCCCTCACACCCTTCCCAGACTCTGGGAACAATTGTTCTGCTTTCTACCTCAGTTCTTTTAGCTCCCACATATGAGTGAGTATATGTGATATTTGTCTTTCTGTGCCTGGCTTATTTCACTTAACAATCTCCCGTTCCATTTATGTTGCTGGAAATGACATGATTCAGTAGTTTTTTATGGCCAAGTAGTATTTCATTGTGTTTATATACCACATTTTCTTTATTCATTCATTCATCGATGGACCCTTAGATTGGTTCATATCTTTGCTATTGTGAATAGTGCAGCAATAAACATAGGACTGCAAGTATCTCTTTGATATACTAATTTCCAAAAGGGTAAATACCTAGCTAGAAGTGGGATCACTGGATTTTATGGTACTTCTATTTGGAAGGTTTTTATTTTGGAGAACTCTCCATACTGTTTTCCATAATGTCTGTACTAACTTACATTCCCACCAACAGGGTATGAGAGTTCCCTTTTCTCCAAAACCTTGCCAGCATTTGTCATTTTTTCTTTTTAATAATAGCTTTTTTTTGAGACAGAGTTTTGTTTTTGTTGCCCAGGCTGGTTCTCTCACTGTACTCTCCGCTCCTGGGTTCAAATGATTCTCCCACCTCAGCCTTCGAAGTAGCTGGGATTACAGGCATTCCCCACCAGACCCGGCTAATTTTTTTTTTCTTTTTTTTGAGTTGGAGTCTCACTCCGTTGCCAGGCTGGAGTGCAGTGGCGCAACCTCGGGTCACTGCAACCTCCATCTCCCAGGTTCAAGCAATTCTCCTGCCTCAACCTCCTGAGTAGCTGGGACTACAGGCACACACCACCACGCCCAGCTAATTTTTGTATTTTTAATAAAGATGGGGTTTCACCATGTTGGCCAGGCTGGTCTCGAACTCCTGATCTCAGGTGACCCATCTGCCTCGGCCTCCCAAAGTGCTGGGATTACAGGTGTGAGCCAGTTTGCCCAGCCAATAATAGCTATTCTAACTGGGGTAAGATGATACCTGATTTGCATTTCCCTGATTTGCATCTGAGTGATGTTGAACATTTTTTAGTACACTTGTTGGCCATTCATATGTCTTCTTTCGAAAAATGTCTATTCATGTCCTTTGCCTACTTTTTAATGGGTTTTTTTTTTTTTTTTTTTTTTGGCTGATGTTTCAGCTTTTCCTGAAAGCCAATCCTCAATTTAATTAGCAAGAATAAACAAAAGCAACTTGGGGGCCGGGTGCGGTGGCTCAAGCCTGTAATCCCAGCACTTTGGGAGGCCGAGGTGGGTGGATCACGAGGTCAAGAGATCGAGACCATTCTGGTCAACATGGTGAAACCCCATCTCTACTAAAACTATAAAAAATTAGCTGGTCATGGTGGAGTGTGCCTGTAATCCCAGCTACTCAGGAGGCTGAGGCAGGAGAATTGCCTGAACCAAGGAGGCGGAGGTTGCGGTGAGCCAAGATTGGGCCATTGCACTCCAGCCTGGGTAACAAGAGCGAAACTCTGTCTCAAAAAAAAAAAAAAAAAGTGGGGGTCCAAAGTGGCTCCCGCCGGAGGTCATGGCGCTCGCGAAGGCGAGGTCATCAGTTCAGGGCTAACCTGAGCAACCTCATAAGCTCAAACGGATTGGCAAAAAAAAAAAAGTAACTTGGGGAGAGGACACAAAGCAGCTGTCTGGGCTTGGTTTTGATCCCATCAGTGTAATGCCAGGGAAAACCCCATCATGAGGAAGAGAAGGACCTCGTATCTTTTGTTCTTTTTTTGAGATGACTCAGGCAGAGATACAAATGTTAAATTTCTACCCTGTGGTGCTTTCTCACTTTCTCTGCTAACAGATGTTCTCCTTGACAGTGACCTGGAATCTTCCCACATGCAACTCTGATCCTAACCAGTTCTGCCCACCTTATGCATCCATCACTCAATACTACAAAATGGCTTGTTTCCATAGTAACCTGTTCTTCTCACCTGGACAGGTTGGCCCTTGTCATTCCTGGCCTGTTCGGATTCCTCCCCACTCCTTTCAGCAGATCTGGGCTTCCTCTGTCCTCCTGAGCAGATTCTTCCTCTATAGCCTGTCTTTGTAGGCTAGATTTACTGAGTAGATCCTCACCCAGCCTGAAAGAGAAAATTAAGATCCAATAAACAGATACCATTTCTATATGGTCCTTTTTTGGAAGCAGAAGTAGGTAAGTTCCTGTCTTTCAGGAGGCTACTGTGCCTCCTTTTCTCTTTTAGTCATTGTTGACTGACGGGTGCTATAGCTAGGAAAGGCAGAAAAATGAGTGCCATCTCATGTCAAACCAACATAATATAGCTAACAAAAAATTCCAGAGAAGTTAAAACTAAGGGTCGGCACTAAATGACTTATATAGATTATCCAGTGCCAGGTGATATAAATAGAAATGAGAAGGAATGAGCTTAAGAGAAAAGAGGATGGGCAGAATTACTGACTATGAGCAGGATATATGTTTTTCAGGTCTAGTAACAATTTTAGTCCACAGTGTTGTTTATTCTCAATGTTCTTATAGAAGCTCATGAAACAGCTACAGCTCACCAAGCCCTTAGTAATTATTACATAATGCTAAAATAGAGCATCACCCAGAAATCAGAGAGTATCCACATCTTATAGTAAGTACATTATAATTTAGTTCCCTTCTTCATTATTGAGCTTGTGTTTGGTCAATGTGGTCTTTTTTCTTTTTCTTTTTCTTTTTTTTAGTTTTGAGAAGGAGTCTTGCTCTGCCTTGAGTGATTCTCCTGCCTCAGCCTCCCAAATAGCTGTGACTATAGGCATGTGCTACCACGCCTGGTAAATTTTTGTATTTTTTTTTTTTAAGTAAAGTTGGGGGCTTCATGATGTTGACCAGGCTGGTCTTGAACTCCTGACCTCAAATGATCCACTCACCTCAGCCTCCAAAAGTGCTGGAATTCCACTATGCCCAGGCAGCATGGTTTTTAAAAACATACATTGTATAATGTCAATCGTCCTTAAAATCACTTGGGGGATTCTCTTGGTATTTAGAATGAAATTCTAATTCCTTTTCCATGACCTTCAAGGCCCTATAGGAGCTGGACTTGCCTCTCCAACTTTACCTGGGGGCCACACTCTCTCCTGCTCTCTACTTTTTAGTGAAAACTGGCCTCCCTGGTGTTCTTCCAGAAGCCAAGTGTGCTCATGCTTCAGGGCCTTTGCATTTGCTGTTCCCCCACCTCAAATGTGCTTCACCAGATACTTGTCAGGTTCTTCATCCTTAAATCCTTAGCTCAGATGTCACTTCCTGGTAGAAGCCTTCCCTAATGCGCTCTAACCAGGGCTTTTTACTGCATCCTCATCTGCAGTGTTTATCTCCATCTCCAGTTGTCTTGTTTATTAGCTGGTGTGGCCTTTCCACCCCAGAAGGTAAGAGTCCTGAGCACAGAATGTTGTCTTCCTTTTTCATGACTGCAAGAATTGGGCATGAAGATTTGTTGTTTGAATGAATGAGTGAATAGATGAGTTGATGAATAATGTATGGCCACAGATCTGCAGATGATATATCACCTCATAGCTGTTGAGGACTCCAGGGTTCCAAGGCTGGAGTTCACTTATTTACCTCCTGTTTCATGGCCTCAGAACAATTCTCCTTAGGTTGACTCTGCACTAAGGTGTCCTTCCCACCATGGAGAAGGCTCAATTCTAGACAGCATATGGGTTTTATATAAGTTTATGTTAAGCATTAGCCAAAGTTGTTAAGCCTAAATGTAATATGTCAGAAAATACCCTTGTAAGCAATTAAAAAAAATGGAATTTGTAAGGTCAAACACAGAAAAGATAATAGTGAAAAAAATCTTAAAGCACAAGCATAGCAATATAATATCTATAGTAGTGGTATTATTTTTTCCTCATCTTGATTAGGTCAACTCTACCTACTCTTTAGAGTAACCTAATATCCTCAATATTGAACATGAACTCTGATATCTTCTGTATGAGGGATGAGCAATGATCTTCTGTACGAGGGATGAGCAAAAGTGCTTCCTTTTCCAGATGACTTAATTTTACTTAACAAGCACTTACGTGGTGTTCACGAGGTAGTTTTCTAAGTACTTGACAAATACTGCCACAGATTGGATTCTCTGAAAGCAGTAGTTGAAACAGTTTAGGGTGTGATGCTTATTAGGGATTAACACCTTTAAAGGGATGGGAGAGCAAGCAGGAAGAAGTAGAACTTCTATGTAGACTCAGCAAAACCTCAGCCAATCTGGCAGAGTGTCCTGCATCAGGCCCCACCTCACTCAGTCAGCAAATGTGCCCCCTACTCGCCTCCAAGGAAGATTACAGCCTGAGGCAAGGTAGCTCTTCTCCAGCTCAGACAGAATGGAGTTCCTGAGAACTGGAGGAGGGTGTCTGCTGGCCACAATCCCTGCAGCTGAGCAGCAAGTCCTTCCTTGAAGCAGAATGTGAGGAGTGCATTCCTGTGTCTGCTCAAATGTTAATTCATTTGACCCCTGTAACAACCCTATGAAGTAGGTCTTTTATTACCCCATTTTACAGATGAGAAAACTGAGGTACACAGAAATTAGGTAACTTCCCAAACTAGGTCAGATAGCAGAGCTGGGATTTAACCCAGACAGTGTGGCTCCAGAATCAGAAGTCTTAACTACTCAGCTATGCTGTCTTATTACTTTGTAGTGAAGGTTAAGGGTAGCCTAATAATAATAACAACAGCAATACTGGCACTACACTTTGACATTGTAAAGTGCACTCACATCAGTGCTGCAGTTTTTTAAGTTCTTTTAAGGTGGAATGTGTGTGTGTGTGTGTGTGTGTGTGTATTTGCCTAATCTGGTGCATTTATTAAGAACAACATCAAAAGGTGATAATTTGGGGTTGTCTATGGCAGTTAGATATTAAATCCTGCCTGTAAAACTCTAGGAATCTAAACTAGAGGCTGAGGTGCAATGACTGGGCTTGAATTCCAGGATCAGACAGTCTGTGCTGGGGTTCTTCTGATGGCCTGGGAAGAGGTCCTCTTTAGTGTTTAGGACAAGAGAGTGAGGAGGTGGAAAAAAGTTGAAAATGCAGGTTGGGGCTGGCCACATCTGAGCTCTGCTAGACAAGTGAAGTGTTAGTAGAGAAAAAGACCTGGGGGAAAAGTAGGAAGCACCATGAGAAAGAGGGTGAAGAGGGAGGGGAAGGGGTTCTGCAGGCATGAGCAGTGTGGGCTCTGGACACTCTTCAGAAGGGTCTGTAAGATAATACAACACTGTGCATGACCAAGAGGGCGGGAGAGGGGTCAGTGTGGGTATAGGGCTATTCCTCGGAGTGGCAATGTGTGGACTCAGACTGAAGTGGGAGGACAGAGGAAATCCAGGGACAGCAGAACATTTCCCCGTCGCTTTCGTGGAATTATAGCTACACATATTCTTTTTTTTTTTTTTGAGACAGAGTCTTGCTCTGTTGCCCAGGCTGGAGTGCAGTGGTGTGATCTCAGCTCACTGCAGCCTCCACTTCCCAGGTTCAAGCAACTCTCCTGCCTCAGCCTCACAAGTAGCTGGGAATACAGACATGTGCTACCATGCCTGGCAAATTTTTTGTATTTTTAGTAGAGACAGGGTTTCATCATGTTGGTCAGGCTGATCTCAAACTCCTGACGTCAGGTGATCCACCCGCCTCAGCCTCCCAAAGTGCTGGGATTACAGGCTTGAGCCACTGCACCCAGCTTAGCTACACATAATCTTTTAAAGATATTTTATTTATTTATTTATTTTTGAGACAGGGTCTTGCTGTGTTCCCAAGCTGGAGTGCAGTAGTTCAGTTTTGGCTCAATGCAGCCTTGGCCTCCTGGGCTTAAGCGATCCTCTCATCTCAGTCTCCTGAGTAGCTGGGACTACAGGCATGGGCCACCACGCTCAGCTAATTTTTAAATTTTCTTTATTTTTTTGTAGAGATGAGGTCTCACTATGTTGTCCAGGCTGGTCTTCAATTCCTGGACTCAAGTGATCCTCCTGCCTTGGCCTCTCAAAGTGCTGGGATTACAAGCGTGAGCCACTGCACCTGGGCTGCCAAAAATGTTTTAAAATCATTTCCTACATTGTGGAATTAGACTTCTTGTTCTAAAGGCTGGGCTTAGGCAGGGAAGAAATCCAAGGATGGCAAGTTTTATTTTGGATGATGCAGAATACACATTTCCCCCTAACTTACAATTCTATTTTTGTCTAGAAGAGTTCATGTAATAAAAGTTATTATCCTTAAGGCTTTTAGCTCCAGTGTGGTTAACTGGCTTCAAATTCTTCTTCTGGAGTTTGGTCAAGTGTCCTCTCTGAGCCCAATTAAAAAAATCTGTTTTAATCCCTTATTACTTTTATTTGTATATAAAACATAGTCCAAAGGGCTGGAACAAAATCTTGGTAGTAAGCTCTCTTTGCAAAACAGGCAGCCAGGATAAAATTCAGCAACATGACATATAAACGTCCCAACAGACCAAATGTGTCCTCTGAGCCGGGAGATTAAAGGATTCTACTTGGGATCTGAATGAAGGTTATTCTTGTTACTGAGCTGATTATGTCACCATCGGTGACCCTTATGTTAACAGGTTCTTTCCCTTGTGACATATTCTATTCCATTCTCTTGTGGCTGTTTTAACATGATTTATTCATTTGCCCATTTTCGTAACACATAAAGCCATTTTAGGAACTTGCCCTATAGCCCACAGCATAACAGTACTATAAATAATTCACAAAGGAAAGCAAGTACAGAGGTGTTTAAAAAGTAATGGACAGGAACTCGAAGAGAACTCATGAGGCTAACAACAGATCTTGCTTAGAGTAGATACCCAAGCTCATTTATTACACTAAGACAAATTGGGACACTGTGAAGAGACATAGTGTATCTGGCATGGAGCATATTTCCAGTACCATCCTCTTGAAAACAAGCATGGTTTCAGAGAAACAAACTTTTCCTGGAGTAAACAGTTGGTGTTTGGGGAGGGAGTATATAACTTATTTCTGAACTCTAGCATTTTACTGAAGAATGTTTTCCCAAACCTGCCATATCTTATGAAGGCAGAAGCAGGAATAAGAGAGTCGGGTCATCATCTAGCTGTGGGGATGGCAGGAATGGCGGAGGGAGCGGAGTC